AACCACCCTGGACAGACAATTCAGTTTCCATGGACATTTAATCCATTTCCTCTCCTGAGACTGCCAACAAAAAGGCCAATTAACACAAACTGTGGAGGTAATTGCATGTTATTGACACAAGAAAATGCAAATTTTGACCACCAACATGTTTCACATGGCACACCAAGCAGGCAACACCTGGTTATAACTTTCTATCAGCAACTGTCCTAGGCAGAATTCAGAACATCAACAGATAAAACAGTTGTCCCACTTCCAACTGGTAGACTACTCAGTATCCCATCCTGGTGAAATACATTAAGGCTACGTCTACACTGGCATGATTTTCCGAAAATGCTTTTAACTGAAAACTTTTCCGTTAAAAGCATTTTCGGAAAAGCACGTCTAGATTGGCAGGATGCTTTTCTGCAAAAGCACTTTTTGCAGAAAAGCGTCCGTGGCATAGGAGCGATAAATGCTATAGGTCAAATTCGTATAGCCCAACAATTGGCTGCGCTGGCAAACAATTTTGTAGATTTAACACATCCCATACAAGATGCCTTGTTAGCTGTGGATAAGCTGCAGCTGGATGTTACCAAACTGTTGCCATTATGGGTTGCCATCCAAGAAGCAGATAATTTACAGCTCTTACAGATCATGGAAAATATACAGAGTAACGTGTCACTTGCTCTAGCTTGCATCCAAGCTCAAGCAATACTAATAGATATCGCTAAAGACATTCTGTGTGATAGCGCCAGTAGGAAAGTACCTGTTGAAATCTCAAAATTGCTTCAGCCTTATTTGAATGAGTTTGAAAGAAGTAATCCAGAGTGGTGGTCAGTATTCCACACCAAGTATTATTTAAAAGAAGAAAAACTTCAAATGTCCATCCTTATGATGGTAGTGCAGCATAATCAGGCAGGCACCTGACGTCAGTTAAGAAATTGCCAGAAGCAACAGACCAATCAGGGCACCTTCAGCTCATTAAGGCTGCTGGGGCTTCTTTACAAGGCCTGCCTGCAGGGTGAGCAGTAGCCCAAGATCTGAGAGTAAGAAGGTGTGTGAGCTAAGGACTGTGAGTAAGGTAGAGTGCTGTAGAGGAACAAGACTGACTTGCTCAAATGCAAGAGGAAAGGTACTGGGAGGGATCATTTGGGGAAGTGGCCCAGGGAAGAATCTGCCAGACTGGGTATAATAGAAACCCTGTCTGTTGCTGCTGCCCAAGGGGCTCTGGGCTGGAATGCAGAGTAGTGGGTGAGCCCGAGTTCCCCCCATCTCAGAGCTTTGGGAAGTGTCACTACGACTTGCATCCCTCTAGTAATGACAACAACAATTCTGTCATGGTTCAGATAGCAGACGGGTGTGACAGAGGGGTTTTCACCCCAAACTGTGGGCTAAACGGTGATGGGAAGGGTTCAGTAGGCTGTGACCCTTGCCTCTAGCCCCAAGGCTAAACTCCTTTCTCCACAGGTCTAGAGGGGCAACTACAGGTGCTATGGGCGTGGGGAATTAGGCCACATAGCAGCTCAATGCCCCAATCTTGAGGAACCAATGCAACATAATGTTGGGGACTTGGATGATCCATGTACCCTACTCAACTTGGTGGGGATCGCGGTTACCCCATATAAGTATACAAGGCCAGTGAAGATAGATGGGATAGAAATGATGGCACGTGTGGATTCCAGGAGCACCATCACTCTGATTTGGGGGGCTCAGCGCAGCCCAGTCAGCTAAAGCAAGCTAATTGCATGAGGATCACCTGTATCCATGGGACTGTTGGCTACTACTCCCGTGGAGCAGTACCTATGAAAGTTCAGGGAAACATCACCAGGGTACATGCATGTGTGGTTCCTCCACCTTCCATATCCAATGCTTCTTGGGAGGAATTTTCCTGGATTTAGTAGTTTGCTTCTCCCAGAAGGGCAAGAATGAAAGGAGCCTTTTGTACTGAGGAAGGCTCACATTGAAACATGTTCTCACCTCTCCCAAACATATGCTGAACTATCCTGGGGTATGAAAGAGGGACAGCTTGATATTGTCAATGATGATACAATATGTAGATAGTGTTACCAAAAGGGACACTCATTTTGTATTTAGTTATATAATGTAAGTTTGTAACTGTAAACCCTCTTAGTCCTAGCTAATAAACCTTGGGAGGGTGACTTTTGGACAAGACCAAGCAGAACACCCTAGATAGAAGAATGCCAGAAAAGAGGTGACTGAGACAGATGGGGTACACATAATAGGAAAAGCCCGGAGGCTGGGTCTGTTCTTCATAATCAAAAAGGGCCTCCTATATTGGGTCGTACATCTATAAAAGCAAGAGGTACATACACCAGCTCTTCGAATCCTGAAAACATCAGAGGGCAATTTTAATGCTCACTCACAGTCACCTTTCAGGAGGATATCTGGGGGTGGAGAAAACCCAGGCAAAAATCCTGAGCCAATTTTTTTGGCCGAGAGTTCACAAAGATGTCCAGCGGTAGTGCATCTCCTGCCCCAAATGTCAGTTACACAGCCCTCATCCCCATCTATGAGCCCCATTGGTTCCCCTGCTGATCATCAACGTTCCATTTGAACAGATGGACCTGGTTGGGCCATTTGAGAAAATGGCCCGAGGCCACCAATATTTACTGGTGGTAGTGAAACACAGCATCTAAAATGATTGCCAAGGAATTAGTGGCAATCATCACCCAAGTAGGGCTACCTAAAGAAATCCTCATGGAGCAGGGGACCCTGTTTATGACCACAGTAATGAAGGACCTGGGTACCCTACTTCGTGTTCAGACCTTATGGACCTCTGTTTACCACCCACAGACCAATGGTCTGGATGAAAGATTCAATTGGCTGTTAAAGGCCATGATCAGAGAGATGGCAAGCAAAGACAGGAAGGATTGGGACATGCTACTACCTTATCTCATGTTCGCCATTCGTGAGGTTCCTCAGGCATCCACCAGAGTCTTCCCCTTTGAACTATTGTATGTATGCAACCTCATACATAGGGGCATCTTGGAGATAGTGAAAGAGATCTGGAAAGAGGAATTACATGATGAAAGGAATATAGTAGAACACGTATAGCAAACGAGGGACTAGATAGCCCAGATTACCCCCATCATGAGAAAACATATGGAGGAGGCCCAAGAGGCCCAATGAGCATACTACAAGTGACAGGCAAAGGTTCAGCTGTTCCAACCAGGAAATCGAATCATGGTACTGATGCCCATAGCTGAAAGTAAGCTGTTGTCCCAGTGGCAGGGACACTACAAGATTATTGAACCCATAGGAGAGGTAAATTATAAAGTACAGCAACTTGGATGCTGAAAGCAGGAACACATATAACACTTCAACCTTCTAAAGCCCTGGCAAGAGAGAAAGGCTTGTATGGCTGTCCAAAGGGACTCAGTCCCAAAGAACAAACCCCTAGAACAAGTAAAGGTATCTCCTGATTTAACACCAGGCCAGAAGAAGGTTTCTGAGATGATCCTCTGGAATCAGGACGTGTTCTTGACAAAACCAGGGTGAACAATGGAGATGTTTCACCACATAATTACCAGCCCTGGGGCTAGAGTGACAATGAGGCCCTACCACATGCCAACTGCAGAAAGGGAAGAGAAAAAAGCAGAGGTGGTAAAGATGCTGGAGATAGGGATCGTGAAGGCATCCCACAGCCAGTGGTCCAGCCAGATAGAGCAGGTGCCACTAGGTTCTGTAATGACTTTCGGCAGCTAAACAAGATACCCCAGTTTGATGTGTATCCCATTCCGCCCCTCCCCCCCAATAGATGAACTAATGGACCATCTGGGTAATGCCAGATATTTAATGACCCTAGACCTTATGAAGAGCTACTGGCAGATTCCCCTAGCCAAAGATGCTAAGGAAAAAATGGTGTTCTCTACATCAGAGGGCGTATTTCAATATATGGTCCTCACTGTTGGTCTCCAGCTACTTTTCAGCAGCTAATGGATAAGCTACTGCATCCCCATGCCTACTTAGATGATGTGATCATCCATACCCCAGACTGGTAAATCCACCTAAAACAGGTAAAGGGGATCCTGGATACTTTTAGATTAGCCAGTCTTACAGCAAACCTTGCTAAGTGTGCTATGAAGTTCACAGAGGCCAAGTATCTTGGATATGTGGTGCGGACAGGGCTGGTAAAACCTCAATTTAATACATTGGGGGCCATTCAACAGTGGCCTCGTCCAAACTGCAGGAAGCAGACTTGAGCATTCCTAAGGGTCATGGGGTACTGCCAATGGTTCATTCTCCATTTTGCCACACAAGCAAGTCCCCTCAAAGACTTGGTGAAGGCTTGTGCTCTGGACCTGGTTAAGTGGTCCATCATAGCAGAAAGGGTGTTGCTATGGCCTGCTCTCTGAAGAAACTCTGTATACATAGGACATAGGAACAGCCATACTGGATCAGACCAAAGGTCTGTCTACCCCAGTATCCAGTCTGCCAACTGTGGCCAATGCCAGGTGCCCCAGAGGAAGTAAACACAACAGGTAATCATCACGTGATCCCTCGCCTGTCATCCATTTCTAGACAAACAGAAACTAGGGACACCATTCCTACCCATCCTGGCTTATAGCCATTGATGGAGCGAACCTCCCTGAATTTATCTAGTTCTTTTTTTAACCCTTGTAAAGTCCTAGTCTTCACAATATCCTCTGGCAAGGTGTTCCACAGGTTGACTGTGCACTGCATGAAGAAAAACTTCCTTTTGTTTGTTTTAAACTTGCTACCTATTAATTTCATTTGGTGACCCTTAGTTCTTATATTATGGGAACAAGTAAATAACTTTTCCTAATTTACTTTTTCCACACCAGTCATAATGTTATAGTCCTCTATCATATTCCCCCTTAGTCTCCTCTTTTCTAAGCTAAAAAGTCCAAGTCTTTTAAATCTCTCTTCATATGGGACCTGTTTCAAACCTCTAATCATTTTTGTTGTCCTTTTTTGAACCTTTTCCAATGCCAGATTTCACCAACAAGTTCATTCTGAAGACTGATGCATCTGAGGTTGGGTTAGGGGTGGTTCTGTCTCAAATGGTTGGGGAGGAGCATCCCACACTTTACCTTAGCAGAAACCTCCTCCTGAAGGAATGTAAATATGTGGTCGAGAAAGAATGCCTTGCTGTAAAATGGGCCATGGAAGCACAATGGTGCTATCTGCTTGGGTGCAGATTTGTCCTTGAGACGGACCATGTCCCCACCAATGAAAGCAGCAGAACAAGAAAAAGAACATGAGAGTGACTTAGTGGTTGTGTCTCACCAACCTTTCCTGTCCTGCGTGCAACACAGGGTAAGGAGCTAACATGGCAATGCTGATGGCCTGTTGCGTATACACTGCCTAACATCCCAAGATGCTCTACCTCTAGGTGTTGAGCAGTGAGGGAAGAAGTGTGAGACACCCAGACCAGCTGGCTGCCGCACACTAATGGAGGGAGGTATGCTGGCCTCTGGGTGAATAGTTTTCTTTTCTCTGAGTAAACAGGGCAGAGCCTAGTGCAGCATAATCAGGCAGGCACCTGCGGCCAATTAAGAGCCTGCCAGAAGCAGAAGGCTAATCAGGGCACTTCTGCAGGCCTCTCTCCAGGGAGGCAGTAACCTAAGATCTGAGAAAGAGAAGGTGAAGTGTGTGTTTAAGCTAAGGATGGCGAGTAAGGCAGAGTGCTGTGGAGGAAGCGGACCGACTTGCTCAGATGCCAGAAGAAAGGTACTGGAAGGGACTGTTTGAGGAAGTGACCCAGGAAAGAATCTGCCAGATTGGGAGTAACAGAAACTCTGCCTGTTGCCACTGCCTAAGGGGCCCTGGAGTAGTGGGTGGGCCGGGGTTCCCCCCAACCCTCCCCATGTCCCTATAGAATCTGCTCCTGAGAAGTCAGAGTAGAACTATGGAGGGTTTTTACCCCAAACTATGGACTAGCCTGAGATGAGATGTGCTCAGTAGGCTGTGATCCTTGCCTTTAGTAAAGGGTATGGGGCTGCATGGAGGGTCACAGCGAGCCTCTGAGGCAAACACTGTCTGCCAGAAGCGTGGGACCCGTGAGCACGGTCAGAGCTTTGCCATAAACTATAAACCAACATGGGCTGCTACACCCACTCTCTCAAAATCACTGCCTTCCTCTGCCTCGGACCTAAACAAAAATCTAATCATTTGTAAAACAACAACAACAACAGACAAAACCCAACCAACCAGTCACAAGGTATGGTAGCTAGCTATACCCCCATCTGTACTATTTGGTATTCTCTTTATTCAACTGACCAAAAAGGCTAATCCTGGCAGCAGCTGTTACTACTCCACTACAGAATGAATTTGAATGTAACCTCTCATGGATCTAGCCTAATAAATTCTGTTGTTGTTTCAAGCACTTCTGTGAATTAAAATGAACGTTGGGTTACCATCCAAATGCATGAGCATGTCTGAAGTGGTTTTTAGGCATGTAGCCAAATAATTTCCCAATTCCCTTGTAGGGTATAGCTCTCGCTCCAGAGATCTTCCTAACAAAAGTTGAAAGACAATCCCCTTCTCCATTTCCTCAAAATAGTTTTAATTTTCTTAGCGTTACATTAAAACAACAGTTAGACCATGTTCTCTGCTGTTGGACTCGCCTAGCCCCAGTGATTTCTCTTAATTCATACCAGTGTAATAGTATATACCCTTTTAGGTCTGTCTTGCAATGGGGGGAAAAAAAGAAGAAGAAGCTGGGATAGACAAGGGTTAACTAAATCTCAAACATATTGTATCCAAATATTGAACAATATTGTAAACCAGCTTGAATAAAATAAGAACATCCTGATACAACCACAACCCATTATTACAGCCAATATGTATTTTAAGATGTTGCTTCACTTCAGGCTAATTATAATCTATCAGGAGGCAGAATTTAGGCAGAATTAACAAAGCATTTGAACACAGGCTAATTTTAAGCCAATTGGAAGTTAATGGGAATTAAGCACATATTTAATTTTAATCATACGCTTGGATATGTTGCTGGATTAATACCTTTATGTGATTGGAAGAAAGAGAAAGAGGAGTATTTAGGAAGGCTGGCACTAACATTTGGAGAATTCTGTTTGTCTATTTCCATATTTACTTTGGCTGACTAAACAGCAGAGAGCAGGAGTGTAAACCTATGGACCTAGGGAAAGGTTGTGCAGTGCTATAAGAGGTACAGATGGAAAGCACTATGTAAAAGTAGTTACAAATATAATAGCTTAGCAAGCAGGGAGTACTTTTTAGTTCAGGTGGCAAAGGCCTTTGACTTTGGAGCAGAAAATATTTCTATTACGATTAACACCAGACTTACCTGGTATTGCTGGGGTCTGGCTAGGAGATGGGGGGAAGGATTGCGCAGACTTCCCACTGGCATGCCCCAGGCCAACCCAAATTCATAGACTCATAGACTCATATATGGCTGCGTCTAGACTGGCAAGTTTTTCCGCAAAAGTGCTTTTGCGGAAAAACTTGCCAGCTGTCTACACTGGCCGCTTGAATTTCTGCAAGACAGGCCATCAGGAGCAATAGCTGTCACACTGGGAACCACCCCCGCAAAAAAAAAAAAAAGACGTTAACTCTGAAACCTAATGACAACCATGAAACGAGGAATATAGGGCTCCCTGAAAGAGTGCGTTTGCTCTTCCACAAAAAAAAAATGCGGAAGAGCAAACACACACCCTAGACGTGGTGGGGGTTTTCCGGGATACTTCCGGTATCCCGGAAAAACCCCGTTGTCTAGATATAGCCTTTCCTTTTTTTTTTTTCGTTTTTCCCCGCTTTTTCTCTTTTCTTTCTCTCTTTTTGCTTTTTTCTTTTTCTCCTTTTTTTTCCTCCTGTCGTGAGAGGGAGAAGGGGCCTATGAAATTAAAATAGCTTGAAAGGGGTCCGTGTGCTCCAAAAAATGGGGCACCCCTGTCCTCAAAAAAGCACAAGGAACCTCAGATGGGGCGTATCCTAAGATCATCTTGACTTCTCTGTCACTTGTGAAGCTGACTGGGACACTCGCACAGTGTTTCTTAAACCGGTGTGCTGCGGAGAACAACCGTGTTCAAAATGGCAGAGAATCCTCCCACAAGTGACCTGGTCCCCTGTACTTAAGACTGCAATTGGAGGGTGACCACGTAAAGCAAGAAAGCAGTAGCGTGGTGTCATGGACAGAGATCTGATTGAGATTTAGGAGACCTAGGTTCCATGCCTAGTTTTGCCACAGGTCTGCTGTTCAAACTTTAGGAATTCCTTTCATTTTCTTTTGCTTCTGTGACTCATCTATCCCTTTATCTGTCTGAACTATTCAGTCTGAATAGTCTCTTCCTATGTGTTTGTACAGCAGCTGGCATAGTTGTAGCTTTTGTACACTATCATAATACCAAAAATGATGAGGCCAAAAGCCATGCTCAGTTACATCTGACTTCTAAGAAAGTTGCTCAGAGGTAGACAAAAGGAGCTCAGACCATTAATTCCATCTGTGTGCACGCTGGCTGAGAGCAGAAATTGGATGAAATGTGCCCATCCTATCTGGAAATATAAATGAAGCTCAAAAATGTCCAGGTTGGCTCCAAGATGGAAAGTCCTGGCTGCAGTAATGAATGAAGACAGGAAATCAGTGAGTGATAGAATGACTGACATGTCTGGCAGCTCTGGACACACAAAACAAGTGGACTGAAAATGCAGAGTGGCTCTTCACTTCTGTAGTGATGGACTCATGGCAACAACACTGTAGGTATGGAGAAATTGGCCTTTTAATGCCTTGTGGAGGGTGAATGCAGCTCCTGAGGCCAGATTTTTGCCACATATAGGCTGTGTCTAGACTGGCCAGTTTTTCCAGAAAATCAGCCGCTGTCTACACTGGCCGCTTGAATTTCCGCAAACGCACTGACTTCCTACTGTAAGAAATCAGTGCTTTTTGCGGAAATACTATGCTGCTCCCGTTCGGGCAAAAAAGTCCCGATTGCAAAAATGGCAATTGGGGCTTTTTTGCGCAAAAGCGCGTCTAGATTGACACGGACGCTTTTCCGCAAAAAGTGCTTTGGCGGAAAAGCGTCCGTGCCCATCTAGACTCTCTTTTCCGAAAATGCTTTTACTGGAAAACTTTTCCGTTAAAAGCATTTCCGGAAAATCATGCCAGTCTAGACATAGCCATAGTGTTCTATCTGTACCTGAAATGCTAGCAATCTGGCATTAACAATGTCTTAGCACATCCCATACTTAGTCCCACATGCTTAGGTAACAAAATATACTCATGGAGAAACTCCATGGGCCTAGAACTTAGTTACAAAGAAAAGCCAAAACATCTTTTAAGCAGTGCCAGACATCAGATCCCATACCCAATCCATAAAACAATAAAACCTAACGAAACTACCTAAACTTTACCCTACTTACAGAAAATGAAGAATGGTGTCTTGGAGAGAGAGAGACATGCTTGTCCCTCTCTGTAGCTGCAGAGAACTCTCTCAGAGAGACAAAAGGGAAGAAGAAAAAAAGAAACCCAAATTCCTTTGTCCCAGTTTGAAAAATCCCACCTACATTCCTATTGGTCATTCCACCTGGCTAGGTGTAGTTAACCCCTTAATCCCCATTCTGCTGGCTAACCCTCATAATCATGACAAACCCCAAGGGGACTTCTGTGATCTAACCTGTCACATTTCCATTGAAGGATATTTGGCACCTTGCTTAAAAATAAGTGGGGCATGTACAGTCCCACCCACTCCTTCTGTGGTAACAAAGAGTCCTACAGATTCCAGCAGTCTCACATTAAGTCTTCAGTCTGAGACCAGACCCATAAAAGGATCTTCAGGCCCCTTCTCCAGGGGATTTGTGAGGGAACTCAAGCCCTCCCTTTACTCTAGTTTTCAGTCCAGGAACCTAGTAGCAAGCAGCTAGGATCTGTCTAGTCAAACTCTTTACTTCCTTCCCCTGGACTACCACTTACTTTAGTCTGTCTTGGGGTCTTCCCATAGGCCTTCCCCAGTCTTATGTCTCCATTAATCTGAGAGAAAAACAGACTAATAACAGAGAACAAAGCAAACATAAAAGCTCCCACCCCCAGAAGATTCTGGAATCTACGAGCACTCAGAAATAGCCTGGCTCCAGCCAGGTATTCTCTAGAGCTGTGGTCACTAACCCATCAATCGCGACTGACTGGTCGATTGGCGGGGTTCGACCAGTCGATCGCGAGGCATTTGGGCCCCCCATGTTCCATCCCCCCCCAAGAATCCCTCACTGACACTACCTCCAGCGACAATGGAGGTAGCACGGGCTTCCTGCAGGGTGGAGGGAAGTCCTGCAGTCGTGCGCCACTTCCGGGCTTTCAGGAAGTGCGCCGGATGCTCCCCTCTCCCCCAAACAGCCAGCGCATTTCCAGAAGCCAGGTCAGTGTGTAGGAGTCCCGGGAGGAAGCGCGGTCTGGGCACTTCCTTCTTGCATATGGGGAAAGGGGAAGGAAGTCCCGGGACCATGCCAGGTCCAACTGGTCAGGTAGCATTGTCACTGGAGGTAGCATCAGTGGGGGCCTTTTGTGGGTGGGGAGATATGGAGGTCCCCGAATGCCTCGCGGTCAACGGGCTGGTGACCACAGCTCTAGATGTTTACTGAGACCTAGCTAGAGTTTCTTTCTTGTAGAACCACATCAAACCGTCCTTCCTTGTTTTAACCAGCTAACATTGCACAGAATTTTGAGGCTTCTCTCTCACAGGTGTAGCAGAGCAGAGCTGATTGAGCTCACACTATTTTAATCAAAAGGAGTATTTTTCAAATTTTTGTTCTGTGAAAAGTTCTAATATTGGGGCTTTTTTGTCTAGATGAAAAAGAATTTTAAAATGGTGTTGATCAGCGCTGCAAGGTATGATTTGTAGAACATGGATTATTTTGAAGAAAATAATTGATATTTTAATTGCCTTCTTTTTGTTATTTTTTTCCATCTTAGTTTATCCTTCTCTTCCCAGCTAGTGCAGGTTCTGGATGCACTAACACATAAGGGATTCCAGCCTTTTATTTGCAAAAACTATGTTTTATATGCTTATTATGGATATGTTTATATAGAAATAAACAACTTCCAAAATTGCTGGGACAAGCACGTGGAGAAACCCAGCAGTGATCAGGTAACTGACCACCCGTAGCAGACAGAAGTAAACTGCTGCCTAGAGCTGGTCCTAAATTTTCTAACAAAATCTTTTTTCTGTTAGAAAACAGCAATTTGTCAAAATGAAAGCCCTCCGTGGAATGGGTCTATTCTGACCAATTTTGCTCTGATAACAAAATAAATAAAGTTAGCTCTTCAATATGGGTGGACTGTCTCAGGACGGCATGTTTTGAGTTTTTTTCGTTTCAAAATAACTGTCCCTTAGAATCAATGCATGTCTGTGCTATGCCTGTATTGTTTGTCTATTGCATTTCAGTCACTGCTTTCCCCTGGAATTCACATTGTCCCCTCCCCCGGAAATTCCCCAAATTGGTCTAATTCAGTTTCCCTCCCGCCAAAACCCGCATTCCCAGGGCAGTGGCACCTCCAGGCTACCCGGCTCTGCCCTCCCACGGACCCTTGTCTGGCCTTAGCGACCCGCACTCACTGAACATTCCCGAGGCAATTTCCCTTCCCCCATCTCCTGGGGCCCGCTGGGGGGAGTGTCCCAGAGACTACACGTCCCAGCGTGCCTAGCGCGGTCAGCCAGAAGCAGCTC